AACATCATCCCGGTCGAAGTGATTCGCCGCGGCCATATACAGGTAGCTGGCGTAAAGCTCCATATTTATTTGCTTATTTATGCCCGCCTCACATTCCTCGTGAAAATTCTGCCTAACTGCGCTTGCCATCAGACGTACGGAGACAACTGTCGGAAAGTAAGGATCAGCCGGGGAGGACGGCAACACAGACTTTTATAGGACCAACAGGAGCCGCCGAAGTTCTCTATTAGTCAGTGGGGCAGGCCGCTGATTGGCTGCTTTTTCCTGGGCGGGTTAGATGGATCGTCAAAGTGTTTCATTCAAAGTGCTGGGAAGACACGGGGCACTCGAAATCACTGGATGTCTGAGATTGTGTGTGCAGCTATGATAATGGGAGCAGTAGTTGCGTGACTGTCAGTGCAGTTGTTGCAGCGGCCTAGTTCAGCGAGTAGTTTGTGTTTGTTTGCAAGTTTACAAAACTAGAATAAAAGACTGGAGAACCAACAAGCAAAATGAAACTCCCAGGCGTCTTTCATGGGCACCCACATTGCTGTCGACCTGTGACGATGATATGGGTCCTGTTGGTGGATGTTTGGTGGCGTGTACTAGGTAAAACCGAGTTAAAAGCCCCGTTCGGCCGGCATATTGTCCGTTATTAGGGAGGGTTCGGTGCGGAGTAGCCTTATCGCATGCGTCATGAATATTTCATAGGCAGTATGCCGCGTACTTGCCCGTACGTTACTGCCTAAATAAGTCTTGTGAGCTAAAATAATTACTATTTCCTTCAAATAATTACCGTTAAGCTTACTTGAATGGTTTCTGGATGGCTGAGTAGATAAATGGCTTTGCTTAAATGGGTCATATGGAGGGCACTTATCAGCCAAATGTGCAGCTTAATAGTCATCGTGCGTTCTCGGGCGCTTATATTTGTTGAGAAGTGTTTCATGCGGTGGTGCATAATGCAATATCTCTTTTATGTCTTTTATGGCTCCCTACGCCACTTTATGTAATTAATGATTAACGTCAAGGTACCTGAAGATCAGTTAGGTCTAGTCTCCTAATGGTGTTTCTCGAAGCAGACTGGCTTTTGAAGGTACATTTATACACATTCTATATCGCGTTCATCATACCCCGAAGAAGACGAAGAAGAAGATAGGGCGCATTCATGGACCGAGTTATATTTGTACTGACGTTTCGGAAACCCTCTCGTTTCCATCATCAGAGTAATGTGTTGACAGTTCCTGCTGGTCTTGATTGCGTCAGCCTTGATACCTGTCTGGTATTTTATCCGTATCGTATTTTTACCGTATATGGGGAGAAAATATGAGGCGTCAATACCAGGAATACTACATGAGTGCTTTAGACAACCACTCTAGGTGGAGCGTGCGGACATTCTATGCCGCCGCCTCAGAACCTGATTGCTCAATCCCCTCAACGTAGTCCATGGGTACAGATTCCATTGAAGAGGCAAAAAGCACAAACTCATTTAGGTGCAAATTCTTGCTGGTGACTTTGCAATGATTCTGTCCGTAATGAAGAATATGTCTAATGTATACTGGCTCTACCCTCCAGAGGTAATCACAGGAACTTGAATGTATTTTAGATTTGCAGCTGCTAGCATTTAACATAGCATATGAACTTATGTCACTCTGCCCCCATAGTCACAAGCGCAACCTCTGACTCACATTACTTTTTGCCTTTTTAACAATCACCGTCAACTGAATCCATGTAACATCCTTAACTCAGTTCATCGGCTTTGCGGCGGCATAGCCGAATATAACTGTCAGCCGAGTGCCTCCGTCACGCGCATTGTAGACCTTATCATAAAAGCAACACGCATGGACTCGCACTGACTGACTGCAGACCAACATAGTCAGGCGCAGGAATGTGTACATCTCTGTGGCTAACATTAATAAGTAGCTCCCGATGTGGTTAACCCTTTTGTTGCGGCTAACTTCTGTGCGTCATCTACACTCCCGCACAGAATAGGTGCCTTCCCCGTAATTTCAGTCCCTTATTTTTTAGTTCGGAAATTCCTCACTGCGAGTCTTTGAAAGCAGATAACTTTAGAGGCTCATCTTATCTCAAAATCGACAGGTCTCGTAAATTGCACAAGCTCTAAAGCAACAGAGTGAAGAAATCCGCAGAAACTCGGAAAAGATCACTTTGCTTTGCACTCCTTACTTCTGCAGATGTCGCCCATGGATGTTATTCACTCGCTGTCACCCTGGTAATCTTCATGGTTTTTTTCCCTTTGGCTGTCCCATTTCTACCTCCATACCGTCATCAACAGCGCATACTCGCTCCCCATAACTAAGCCCATTCATGTGTTCTCTCACGGAGTATCCGCTTTCTTTCACAGTTGACCAACACTGCATTGTTTGGGTATGGTTCTGCTGAAGTTGTATAAGTACACAAAGACCATTTGCCGATCGATTAGAGCCCACAAGGCTTGATAAGATCGACCAGTTTTCAACGGAGACTTTGTTAAAATTTTTTCCTGAAAAAGAATATTTCAAAGGCTCCCCTTTGCTTCGTGAGCACAAGCCCAACGCTGCTGACCAACGCACCGTAATGATAGATATTTTCTACAAACCTCTGAATCATATTTGTTATGCATCTTGCTTTTTATGAGTGACGGTTCTTACTGAACTTCCCGCTAATATCAGCTTTGTTGCTTGATGCGCTTTGTACACAGGCTTTAACGGCGATGTACGAACTTCGTTTCTTATGTTAAAGGACTCGAATGTGAATACTTCAACCAAAAATCTGTGCAGGGCGAGTTGCCTCTTGAACCTGCTCTCTTCCTCTTTTTAACCTCTCTGAAACAAAAAGAAAAATCAGTCTATTTGAACTGTAACATGGAGATGCCTAAAACCCCTCTAGAAATTGCTCTA